AGACCTGGTTTTAAGGTTATAGTTAGATTGGGTTTCAGGTTAAGGTTAGGATCAGTGTTGTGGTTAGAGAGATGTGATGGTCGCAAGATGAAAGTGAGGTTGTTGAGGTGGTGAATGTGCATGAAGCTCATCCTGTTTTCATATGGAAGCATTACCACGACCACAACCTTTCCCTTAACAAGTGTTTATAAACTGTCCCTCATGGACAGTAAGATGACAGCAGGCCAAAATATATAGTTGTTACCTTTATCTCCCAGCACCCAATATCTGGTTAAACAAAATACTTAGAAATAAAGTCCAAGTCAAGTGTAGAACGCAAAAGTCCGTCAAAGAAAGACGCATCAGTACGCTCTAACAGACGGCTGAACAACATCTGGATTGATTTAATGGCACTGACTGTAGAATTAGCACCGTGGATGTAAACTGATGCTTCTTTAGCAGATTTTTTAAGTAATTCAGTTAAAATTTGCGCCCCATTTGGATGGAAACTTGATTTACAGACGACGTTTCATTCCACCTGTGTGTGTGGCAGCTTTAGTTTTACTCTAACATGAATTGATCTTTCCCTCACAGCTAACATATCTACACATCGATCATGTAGTTTCCCTGGACAGATGTTGAAATCATTCAGAATAAATGCAACATTTTTATTATTTATTCCAACACTATTATTTACTGTTTAAAACGTCATCACTGAGTTTAATCTGGGGTTCAACAGAATCATCTGTTTTACAGGTAAATGTTCTGTCCGGTGTTGAGGCTGTTTGCGTCACAGGAGTAGTTTCTTTTTGTCACTAATTTTAAAACCCCTGTTAGCTGGTCGTCAGTTAATCTCAGGGTCGGTGGTTCGATCGTCTTTCTTCATGTCCACGTGTCCCAAGTGTTCTTGAGCAATGATGGTCAGACCAGCACCTTGCATGGTAGCTCGCTGCCATCGGTGAGTGTGTGTGAATAAATGCTGTATTTACCAATATTATCAGACTGCTTGTAGTTCTTAAAATAAAGTGAAAATATATTGTGACTTTTTTTATTTTCATGTTTGTGTTCTTCCACATTATTTCTTTTTCTTAATTTCTATATAGGCCTGGGGTGGATGGCGCAATGGTTAAGACGCATGCCTTTGGCGTGAGAGACCCACGTTCAATCCCCCACTGTGACCCATCCACCATTGTGTCCCTGAGCAAGACACTTAACCCCCAGTTGCTCCAGAGGCGTGCGACCTCTGACGTGTGTGTGTGTGTGTGTGTGTATATATATATATATATATAAGTCACTTTGGATAAAAAGCATCAGCTAAATGTAAATATACATCACTGTCCAGTTTATTAGAAACATCTAGCTAAAACTAATGCAGTCTAATACAACAGTCCTGCAGTAAATCTCCTTCATTAAAGTTATAATGTTCAGAGAGGCATTGATTTAACTTCATGGTCATTTTGGAGGCTTTAGTTTGTGGTGCTGTTGAACTGAAACAGGTGTTTCTATTATTCTGTCCACCCCATGTATATCAGTGAGTGCAGGCTAAATAACAGAAACACGTCTCTGAAACAGTTTGAACACAAACTGAACATTAAACCTTGATGAAGGAGATTTATTGCAGGACTGTCAGACTGCATTAGTTTCAGGTGTTCCTAATAAACTGGACACTGAGTGTTTGCTGCTGCTGCTGACTGTGATATTTGAGTTCTCTGAAAGTTCATGTATGTTGATATTTCTAACTGATGATGAACTTGTATCGAGTCATTTCCTGCAGAGCTGAATCATTTCTGTCCAAACGTTTGAATAAAACATGAAAAATGTCAAACTGTATGTTGTGGCTGTTTTTGATGTTTCTGTCTGTTCAAACTCTAAGAAATAAAATAAAGTGATTTTACTGTGTTGGACCGATTCTAACATGATCAATATTTTACTACAGATGTTTTTAACATGACTTTTTGTAGGAGTGGTATTTAGCAGTGGTGAAATGTACATTCACTCAAGTACTGTACTTAACTACAAATTCAAGGTACTTAAGTAGGAATTTAAGTTTGGGGAATGGAAGGAACAACTACAGGGACTGTTGGAGTGTGCTGCCCTAACAGAGCCACGAATAGTGAGCATTTTGATGGGGGTTAGCCAAATGGCAAGTTCAGGTGTTGGCTCAAGGTGACCGAAATATTCTTTGTGGCACTAGATGACCTTTATGGAGAGAGGACGCCCATTACATTAGTTAGTTTGGATCGACTGAAGGCTACAAGAAAATAATGTTATTTTAGACATGATACTCATGGAAACCTCATTTAACCATGAAGAGAATTGGAAGAATACAGTGTGTTCAGAAAAGAGGCTTAAAATGTGGTGAGATTTCAAACTGTGCAGAACAGGAAGGGGCCCACTGAGACTGCTTGTATATAGAGCCAAGAATGTTTTGCTACGTCTCTGTCAGTAAACTTGTTATTTTAAGGCAAATCTTAATAATTAATGGGGATTTTTTTATTAGCAGATAGAAACTGCAATTTCCAACACATCTTCCATAACTGAATCTGAAGTAATCAATTAAGTATTTGCAAGCACTGTTTGGTTTATAGACCTACCAGTATTGTTTTGTGCCTTGTGAGGGACCAAGTTTTCAGGCATGAGGAGTCAGAAAGTAAGTTTCCAAAAAATATATAAAATTTTATTTACAAAGCACAAAAATAGAAAATTCTGGGCCCATAAAAGAGGTCAACTAAACAGAACTTAACTCAGGTAACATAAGCTGAACAAAAAAGACCAAGACAAACTAAACAGACAATATATTCACTCACATTTATACACTGAGCTCAAACAGAAACTTACATTCATACATAAACTAGTGGAACAGCAACCAGAGGCAGTTCGGGGTTCAGTATCTTGCCCAAGGACACTTTGACATGCAGCCTAGAGGAGCTGGGATTGAACCACTGACCTTTCAATTAACAGGCACCCTGCTCTACCTCCTGAGCCACAGCCCCCCCCAAGTACACGTCAAGTGTTGGACACAAAAGTCTGTTAGAGAAAATAAGCATCAGTACTCTAACAGACAGGCATGTTGGACTTTTGAACAACATCTGGAATGATTTAATGGCACAGACTGGAGAATTAGCGCCACCAGCTGTTTGTCTCCATGAACCACATCCTAATTTATTTTTTCTGGAAACTCAGTTAAAATTACGTCACATTTGGATGGAAACTTGTCTTTCAGCAGACTTTTCAGTCCACCTGTGATTTTGGCCGCTCTGACCAACAAAACAACACTTTGCCTTCAGACAACACGACATAGAAACTAGTTTGTTTAAAGTGAAACTGCCTTTAAAATTCAAGTTTTACACTATCCACAATTTATTTAATATTATTTAACGTTCAAAACAAATCATCATTAAATATAATCTGAATTACATGTAAATGTTGTTTCACAGGAGTAGTTTCTTTTAGCAGACAGGTTGGAGTTAACGAGGTGAAACAGAAGAGAGCAAGTGGACTTTAATGCAGACAGAACTGATTATTAATCAACAATTCTGTTAATTAGATTCTGGTATGTGGTGTGACTGAGTTTCACTCTTGTGCAGCTTTAAGACAAAAAATACTGACTTACTTAATGACGTCTTGCACTCTGTTCTACAGTGCACTCGGAAAGTATTCACTGCGCTTCATTCTTTCCTCAACAAAAGTTTAACATAATGTGGAAAACTGAAGCGCTGTGAATACTTTCCCCATGAATTACATGTTGCATTGCACAAAGTTAAAAGACACCTGATTAAACTCCAGATAAAAGTGTAAGTGTAATGTAGTGTAAGGGCCTCAGACCAAATAAACTCTGCAATCAGTGAGTGAGTGTGAATGATGGATGTGGAGCAAACATGCTGCATTTAACAGAAATGATCTTAAACATGGGTTCACTGAACTAAAGCTGTTTCGCTGTAAAATGTGAATATTTTGTAGCTACAGTGTTCATTGACATTATTTGGGACAAACCTGTATTGCTTCCTTTTATTTCTTACGGTGCGAAGCCAGACTCTGTCAGGTACAGTTACACACTGAACTACACACTCAGTGTCCAGTTTATTAGGAACACCTCGCTAAATTAATGCAGTCTAAAACAACAGTCCTGCAATAAATCTCCTTCATGAAAGTTCTAACTGATGATGAACTTGTATCGTGAAAAATGTATAACATTAAAAATGTCAAACTGTATGTTGTGGCTGTTTTTGATGTTTGTTCAAACTCTGAGAAAAGAAACTAAAGAGATTTTACTGTGTTGGACCGATTCAAACATGATCAATATTTTGCAGCTGTTGTTTTTGTATAAATACTTTTTGTAGGAGTGGTATTTAGCAGTGATGAAATGTGCAATTGTAAGTAGCTTTGGATAAATGTAATGTAACATTTACTCAAGTACTTAAGTAAAACAATTTTGAGGGAGGCCTACTTGTATTTCAACTTCATGCTACTTTATGCTTCTGCTCCACTAGATGTCAGTATTTTAATGTTTCCTCTACTACATTTGTCTGACAATATTCAGATTACAAATTCCTCCCTGTCCAGTGAATACCATGCTTTTTAAGAAAAATAATCTATTTAAAAACCCTATTTGAAAACAGGCTGTTGAGCAATCAATAAAAATTCACTTTAAAGGGGTGAATATGTATGCAATCATCTTTTTTAACTTCAACTTCTTTAATATTATAATATTTTTAATTAATTGACATTAGAGTTTTATTGCAAATTCTTGTCAAAAAAGCCAAATAATATTGAGCATGATTTCATGTATAAAAGAAACAAAAGAGTGAAACATCAAAGGAGGTGAATACTTTTATAGACATTGTACTTGTGGAGTGTTTTCACATTGTGGTATTATTAATGCTTTTTACTCGAGTAAAGATATTATTTCTACCACTGGTGATCAGTCAGTCCCTTTTTCACAAGTCAAAATCATAGACTGTATAAAACGTCAAAATATTAGTGAAAGTGACGCTTTTATTGTGAAGGATTAGCGGAAGTGTTGCAGCTTCCTGAGAAATCGAAAGTGTTTCGCAGTCACGCAGCCTGAAGTGGTTACACGTCTGTTAGAGTCGTAACAGTGAAGTTTAATGATGTTTAATCTTCAGATGTCTTCTACAAACATGAAGCTTCTTCCTCTCGCGTGTCTCTGTCTCCTGACTCGGTCTGGAACAACGTTGGCTGATGAACAAAGTAAGAAAACGACTTAATTAAACTGATAATCAATAACCTGATAGGCCGAATAGGCACAGATCAATATTAAAACATCTAAGCCTATTTCCATAACAAATGTGATGTAATTTAATAAAGGCATCCTTCTGATTAATTACAGTCGTACAACAGAGCCGCGCAGTTTGCTGATGTTTCCATTATCTGGCAGCGGAAGTTCAGGGCGTCTCCGGCAGAGAAACTGTTCCTCATTTCAGACTGTTGCGACTCATAACTGATATTTCTGATCAATATAAAGTGTCGACCTCTACCTGAGGGTTAACTTACTGTTTTGTTGATCCTTTTTAAGTAGAAACTAAGAATAATGCGTGTGTTATAGCCACACAGCCTGTATATAAATATTATAATAATAAGCAGCCGTTATTTTTCTCTCTCGCTTCATTTCTCACATTTATAATTCAGATCCAAAGCCATGACCATGTTCAGAGACAGAAAACTAGGCTGCAGGACTGACAAAGCACCGTCTGAATATAAACACGTTCAGATCTTCCTCCTTAGTTTCTCAGTCTGGTTGTATTTTAGCAGCTTGTTTGTGGGGAGATGAATATTGATCTATAATTTGTCCTCGTGGTCTGTGCTCCTGTTTACGGAAACGAGTGTGGACAGATATTTCTGCAGAATATCTGACTGTAATTCAGAGGTTTATTGTTGTTGTCTTTTGTACTTTCTAGACTTATAAATCACGATGAACTGAATTCAGATTTAATTTTAGCCTGTTTTCCTCGCTGCTCTCATGTTTCCTCTTCCTTCTTAAACTTTCCTTCTTAAATTTGTGCTAAAAAGACCATTTCGTGGGGGGAAAAATGAAAAATAAAGTTAAAAAACAGGTTATAAGTATTTGTAAGAAAGTAAAATGTAAACAAATGCAGAAATTGGAGAACAAAGTGCTCAACAAGGTAAAAAAAACAAGAAATGTTAGTTGTCACGAGTTATGTTGTTTGAACAACTGACTTCAATGTGTCTTAACTTAAGCATAATTAAATTAATTTAAACATACTGATTAATGAGGTTTTTTGTCTTCCAGGTCCAGTGATCATCAAAGTGGAAGAAGGCAGTGATGTTATTTTACCCTGTTCCCTCAGCCCCAAGGAGGACATTGAGTACAAACTCTTTGACTGGAAGAAAGATGGTCAGAAGGAGGTTTTCATGTATGATGCAGGAATTTATTACAATAAGGGCCTTTCAGGTCAAGATGAGCAGTTCAAAGGTCGCGTCTCACATTTTCAAGATGAGCTGAAGTACGGCAACGCCTCCATCAAGATCAGAAATACGAAGGTGAATGACAGTGGAAACTACAGCTGTGATTTTCCACGTCTGCAGCCAAGACAGACATTCAACATTCAGCTTGTTGTTGGTGAGTGTTTTCATTAAACAGTTAAAGATTTATTTACTGATGTGACTGGTTTAAGAGTCTCAGATGGACTTTAGTCAAGTAGTCAGAATAACATCTGGCAGGGCCTCTCTATTATCAAGGTGATAATATTTCACAAGCGTTCTAACATATGTTTTTTTTTTCCGTTTTAGGTGGTTTCTTAACCTCTTGGAGCTTATTTTAATTATGTGCTTTTCTGTCTCTTAATACCTGCACATGTTAAACTGTTTAATAAAAAGACCAAGAGGAGCTGATACCTGTACTTAACATCACTGTAAAGCAAAAACTCTGAGCTTTCATTAGGTGTATTGATCTTATTTAGAGATCTGAAAGAGAAGAGTTGGTAAATTATTAAACAGAAAACAATAGAAGTTCTCTTGTTCTTTCTGTTTTACTTAATATTTATTCATTCATAAATCAGTGATAAAATGTTGTATCAGGCTGAAATTCACAGGATCTCTTCCTCCACTTGTCTTTAATGTCTGAACCAGATTTTAGGTTGACAGACTGAAGTGGCTCTGAGATATTTTAGAAAGTGCAGTACAGAGCGTCTCCAGCAGATGTCTACAGAGCTCTCTAAAACTTCTCCAAACTTACCAAATAATGATAATAAATCTCTTTGTTATATTATAAAAACGTTCCTAAGTGTTAAATTTAACTATAGAATATGTTTTTATATAAATACATATTTACATATTAATGATGATTGAATCTCTCCTCTCTGAACATATAAATAAAGTTTCTCTGTTGTCTCGGTGTCCCGCTACCGCAGGAAGTCCGACTACAGTAACTTCCATATATGGTCAGACAGGTGATTCTTCCGGCTACAGACTCACTGTGTTTTCACGGTGCTGACTTACCATTGGATGAAAGTGTAGGTCAATTAAACACACGTGGCGTTCACGTAAAGATGCTCTCCTCTGATTGGCTGTCGGAGTTAAAAGCCCGTTAGTTTCGTCACTTTAGCTCGTAGAAAGATGCTGATTGGTTCGTTTTGTTCCTGGGCGGTTACTGATTTCAGAGATACTGAACATCATTGGTCAAATATTTTGTCGCTACTTTAAATTGACAGAAATCACTTTGTTTTGGAAGTTTGACGAGCGGCGCTAAAAATAAACGAGCGACACAATCGACTTTTATTCAGGTTATTTTACTTCCGCTTGAACTTTAACGAGCTGGATTCACTCGGTGGACTTTTGTTCTTTAAAACGAGCCTCTGTTTGTCTGTAAATGTCTGTTTTTCGACCTATAAATCCATTTTAACTGCAGCTACACAGGATAGCAGGTAAGATGCTAACTGTTTACTGCCGTAAAGTAAGACGCTGCTGTTGTCATTTCGTAACTTCTTCAGTTAGTTTGTTAAATCCGTTGAAAAAACGAACCTCTGAGCTTTAAAACGAGCTACAACATGTCTGAGTTCATATCTGCCGTCAACAGGAAAACACGCTGTTTGTTTATTTAGTAATGTTTACATGGAAATCTGGGTCGCGTGCAACCTCCGCGCCAGAAAAGATTAAAGGACAGATCAGCTGAAGAAGGTGAGTCCTTTGATGACGTCACTCTGTGAGTTTGGCTCCAGAGGCCTGATATCATTCAAAACACATTTATATTCCTCGCTTTGTGAAACAGATATAAATCATTCTTCTATGTTCAAAGTGTCATAAAGCTGAAACAACAGATCACTTCTTGATGTGGAGACATTTACCAGCATTGATTGGGTCTGTAGGGTCTTTAACATTTATATAAAACCTTCTGTAGCTGTTATTGGTATTTTCTGTCCCTGAAACACACTTTATTGCTCATTCACAAATAGAGAAGCAAATAGCACACACCATAACAATGGTGGAGTTGTGTTACATATTTTAAAAAGTCTCCTTAAGACTTTTCTTTAGATTGTGTTGTTTTTAAAAAAAATGATTTGCATGCAATTGTAATGCTTGTAATTTCAGGAAAATTCATTATTTTAGCATCTGTATCTAACCCTAACTACAAGGTACTACTGGAGAAATTCTTAATATTTTTACATGTGTTTAATAAAAGCTAATTTATTTACTACAAAGTAATTTCCATTTAAATTTCCTGTAACCAAAATTAAAAATCTACAAAAAGTATATAACCTAACTCAATGAAAGAAACTAAATTACTCTCAATAAATAACTAAAATAAACAATATTAAGATACCTGACAGCCCAACCCTGTGCTGGTAACACCATCAGCACAGCAGATTAACATTTTAGAAATTACGATAGTGAATGTGGCTTGTTGGGAGACTAGCTTTGCAGTGTGCTGCAACATTGCACCTCAGCCAGTTACCGTTGTTGTTGTTGTCACCAGAGAGAAGCCAATAGATGAACAAAAACCTGTCGCATGTCCTTTTCACTGGCAGATGGAGACAACAGATGTGTTAAACACACTTTAATTCTTGTTCACAACCAGAGAAAAATAAACAAGAAACATCACAGTGTTACATTTATAATCCTGTAATTGTCCTTTCATAGATGACGTGTCACTTATTGTTCATTTACACTGTGTTCACAGGAGCATCTCCAAAGCCGTCTGTTACAATACTTAATGAAACAAATGATGGGATGCTGCTGCAGTGTGAAGTTCTTGGTGCTTCTCCAAAACCTACAGTAGAGTGGCAGGACAGTGCTGGAAACAAACTTCCTGCTGAGGAGCCACAGGTCTCAGAAAGAGGAGGCAGCTTCTACATCACTGTCAACACTACTGTGAAGAAGACCGACCGCTATCGCTGTGTAGCCACACAGGAGGAGATCAAACATCAGATTTTTAAAGACATATATGTGAAGGTCAATGGTGAGATTCTTCCTATATTATATTTCAGTAATTTTAATATTTCATTTTTTATTAGTTTTCAGACTGAACTCAAAGCAGGTTGTGATAAAGACGTCTGCAGAAGTGTAAAAAGCTTCAAACTGAGTGAAAGCTTCACACTTATACTGAGACTCTGAGACTTCATGAATCTACAGAGATGAGAGGAAGAATGAGAGGGTCTGCAGGGAAATAACAGAAAGAAACTCTGAGATCAGTCTGATCAAACACAGGAACACAAGAATTTAGTAAACTTCACTCACAAACCCAGTAACAGATTTATAAATGGCTGCTGCAGCCTGATCCTGAGGATCGACATGAAAACACCTCACGAGGGAGATTTAGAGACTGAAGACTTTAGAATCAGAGACTTTTTGAGCGACATTGACAAGAACTTTGCGTGGGAATTTGGCCTTCTTAAGATTCCTCAAGAAATACAGTCATTTCTGAGCTTTCTTCACCAGTGTGGAGAAGTGAGATGTCAGGTTCTCTGTGATGCTGATTCTCAGGAACACAGCAAAAACTGAGCTCTCAAAAACAAGGAAAAAAAGCAATAAAATGGGGGAAATATTACTTAAAATAAGCAAAATTATCTGGCAACAGAACAAGAATATTTCACTTGCTACTTAAGGACAAAAAAACTTGAAGTGAAATTCTCTAACATAAAAGCCACCTGGTAAGAAGAAAACAAAAACAAAAAACAAGTATATTTTGCCTTGAATTAAGATAATTAATCTTACTTAGATGTTAGATTTTTGCAGTGAAGCTGAAACTGTTCACCTGCTCCTCCTCAGCACCACTGATGTAAACAGGAGTGTGTCTTTATCTCTTTCTTCATGAAATCGAAGATCAGCTCCTTGCTGCTGTTGAACAGACTCTTTAGTGAAGTAAAAGTAGCAAGACCACAATGTAAAAATACTCTGTTACAAGTAAAAGTGCTGCATTCAAAAGTCCACTTGATTATAAATACAGAAGTATCAGTAAAATTAACTTAAAGTAGCAAAAGTGATGTGTTTATCAAGTATATAAGTAAGTAAGTACTATCAAAGTAGCTAGTCTGTCTGATAAATGTAATGACATATAAGTATAAACCAGCATAAGTAGGAATACTCAATTAAAGTAAAAGTACCTCAAACTTGTCCTGTCACTGCTCAGTGAAACATAAACGTATCTCAGCCTCATGTTTAGCTGGATGTTTAATGTTTCCCGTTAACAAAGCTTATCAACACTCGCTGTAACAGCAGCTGTGATAAAATCCAGATGTGGTTCTGAGCCGTAATCCAGAGTCCACGGTGGCCTCGGCTCAGGGTGCAGAGAAGCTCGGCTGTAGACAGATCGCCTCACACGTTTGCAGATCTCAGCACAGCAGGAGTTTAGCAACAGTCACATGTAAACAGGCTGAAGTAGAGGCGGCAGGACAGAGATTCAAACCTTCTTCCTACTGATGAGCAGCACGTCTCAGAAAGAGGACGATGCTACGACATTACCCTCCTCACTACTGAGACCAGAACCAGAACCAACCTCTTAGCTGTGGAGCCCAGCAGGAGGCGACTGGCCATAAGATCAATGCTAACATCACTGTTCCTGCTGAGACTCATCCCAGTGCTGTTTGGATCTGCTGACAGTTTTAGCTTCTAGATTTCAGGAGCGTGCACACCTTTAGATGTTCTTTGTGTCGGCTGTGATGTTCAACCTGCTGTTTATGATGTGCAGCTACGTTCTGACTGTTACATTCACTTTTTATCATCTGTTTCAGGGTCTCCCACTGATTCCTCCTCTGGATTAGATGTTCCTTTACTTGGTGCTGCTCTCCGCGTTGTTGCGGTTGTTCTAGCTGTGTGTGTGTAGGCTGGAAATGCAGCCAAAAATTACAGAGAGGTAAGTTTAAATAATGTTTTCATCAACATATTCATGATGAGCAGACGACACATTCTTTGTGTCTCATGTTTAGAGTCTTGACAGATGTTTTATCTTCTCAGGTATTAAGCATTCTGGTATTTACACCAGCGTAGGATCAATGCAGGAGGGATTTTCTTTGTTTTCCTTCATTCAGTGCAGCTACCTGATCCAGAAACTTAAAGAGCTTTATGTGCTGTGAATTTGGCTGCTGAAGTGTGTTTCCATTTCTCTTTTGTGAGAACCAGTTTACACCAGACTGTATGATAGTGAGGACATTTTGGATGGTGTATTTCAGGCAGTTTGGGTGTTAAAACCTGGTTTTAAGATTAAAGTTATTAAATTAGTTTCAGTTTAAGGTTAGGATTGGGATTAGATGGTTTTGATGGTGGCAAGATGAAAGTTTTTGAGGTTGTTGGGATTACGAATGTGTTTGTAGCTCAGCTCTACTTTACTACGTCCCTTTACCCCGACCACAACCTTTGCTTGACCTTAACAAGTGTTTTATATTCTGGAACTCAGTCACACAGTCTTGACTAAACTCATTTTAACTCTTTCGTTATTGTTGTTTAGGACAATGACGACTTCTTGCACTCTTTGTTTTTTTATTTTAATATTCTGATTATTTTATGCAACTTAATTTTACTCTTGCTCTGTCTTCAATCTAAATTAATTTCATTCCAGGCAGCACAAAGTCAAGTGATGATCAATCTGCCCACTGAACTGTTGTTGTTGAGGACTTATACTGAAGCACCTGATGAATAAGACGAAGCTGCACAGAAACAATGTGATCAATAACGAGATAACATCAAATTATAACATAGGATAACATTTACATTTTAGCTGACACTTTTATCCAAAGTGATTTACACTCATATACAGTGGGTACGGAAAGTATTCAGACCCCTTTAAATTTTTCACTCTTTGTTTCATTGCAGCCATTTTCCAAAAATCAAAAAAGTTCATTTTATTTCTCAGTAATGTACACTCAGCACCCCATCTTGACAGAAAAAAACAGAAATGTAGAAATTTTTGCAAATTTATTAAAAAAGAAAAACTGAAATATCACATGGTCATAAGTATTCAGACCCTTTGCCGTGACACTCATATTTAACTCAGGTGCTGTCTATTTCTTCTGATCCTCCTTGAGATGGTACTGCTCCTTCATTGGAGTCCTGCTGTGTTTGATTATACTGATTGGACTTGATTAGGAAAGCCACACACCTGTCTATATAAGACCTTGCAGCTCACAGTGCATGTCAGAGCAAATGAGAATCATGAGGTCAAAGGAACTGCCTGAAGAGCTCAGAGACAGAATTGTGGCAAGGCACAGATCTGGCCAAGGTTACAAAAAAATTTCTGCTGCACTTAAGGTTCCTAAGAGCACAGTGGCCTCCATAATCCTCAAATGGAAGACGTTTGGGACGACCAGAACCCTTCCTAGAGCTGGCCGTCCGGCCAAACTGAGCTATCGGGGGAGAAGAGCCTCGGTGAGAGAGGTAAAGAAGAACCCAAAGGTCACTGTGGCTGAGCTCCAGAGATGCAGTCGGGAGATGGGAGGAAGTTGTAGTAAGTCAACCATCACTGCAGCAATCCACCAGTCGGGGCTTTATGGCAGAGTGGCCCGACGGAAGCCTCTCCTCAGTGCAAGACACATGAAAGCCCGCATGGAGTTTGCTAAAAAACACCTGAAGGACTCCAAGATGGTGATAAATAAGATCCTCTGGTCTGATGAGACCAAGATAGAACTTTTTGGCCTTAATTCTAAGCGGTATGTGTGGAGAAAACCAGGCACTGCTCATCACCTGTCCAATACAGTCTCAACAGTGAAGCACGGTGGTGGCAGCATCATGCTGTGGGGGTGTTTTTCAGCTGCAGGGACAGGACGACTGGTTGCAATCGAGGGAAAGATGAATGCGGCCAAGTACAGGGATATCCTGGACGAAAACCTTTTCCAGAGTGCTCTGGACCTCAGACTGGGCCGAAGGTTTACCTTCCAACAAGACAATGACCCTAAGCACACCACTAAAATAACGAAGGAGTGGCTTCACAACAACTCCGTGGCTGTTCTTGAATGGCCCAGCCAGAGCCCTGACTTAAACCCAATTGAGCATCTCTGGAGAGACCTGAAAATGGCTGTCCACCAACGTTTACCATCCAACCTGACAGAACTGGAGAGGATCTGCAAGGAGGAATGGCAGAGGATACCCAAATCCAGATGTGAAAAACTTGTTGCATCTTTCCCAAAACGACTCATGGCTGTATTAGATCAAAAGGGTGCTTCTACTAAATACTGAGCAAAGGGTCTGAATACTTATGACCATGTGATATTTCAGTTTTTCTTTTTTAATAAATTTGCAAAAATTTCTACATTTCTGTTTTTTTTCTGTCAAGATGGGGTGCTGAGTGTACATTACTGAGAAATAAAATGAACTTTTTTGATTTTTGGAAAATGGCTGCAATGAAACAAAGAGTGAAAAATTTAACGGGGTCTGAATACTTTCCGTACCCACTGTATAAGAAGGACAGTAAGTAAGTAATGAAAATAAATAATAAAGTGAAACGACCAGGAGACTCTGACTGAGGATTTCAGGCTGCTGCAGCTCAGAAAAGATTTAAATATCTGTGATGTGTTCAGGAGCTTCAGTGTGAAATCTGAACCTGTAAAACTGAGAGGCAGCTACTGAAGACTGGAAGGTGTTTGTGTTTCTATGATGAGTTAAAATCAGCTTGTTTGATGAGCAGGAAACAGACAGGGACTTCTGTCTGAGGCCTGAATAAAGAGATGAATGAGGAGCAGAACTGCTGCATAAATACTGTCCGTTTACTAAATATTATCAGACCGCTTGTTGTTCTTAAAGATCCTAAATGAGGGAGAAATTAATAGAAACATGAGTTCACTGAACTGAAGCTATTAATGTAAATATTTTGTAGCTAAAGTGAAATATATAATGTGCCTTTGTTGCTTATTTTAATTTCTTAAGGTGCAAAGCCAGAGTGCTGTCAGATACAGTTACACACTGAACTTCACACTTACACACAGCAGCTAGTGAACAGGCAGTCTAATACAACAGTCCTGCAATAAATCTCCTTCATGAAGGTTTTAATGTTCAGAGAGACATTGATTTGAATTCATGGTCATTTTGGAGACTGTAGTTTGTGGTGCTGTTGAACTGTCTTACTTTGACAGGTGTTTCTGTTATTCTGTCCACCCCATGTATATCAGTGAGTGCAGGCTAAATAACAGAAACACGTCTCTAAAACAGTTTGAACTCGAACTGAACATTTAAACCTTGATGAAGGAGATTTATTGCAGGACTGTCAGACTGCATTAGTTTCAGGTGTTCCTAATAAACTGGACACTGAGTGTTTGCTGCTGCTGCTGACTGTGATATTTGACTTCTCTGAAAGTTCATGTTCATCTTGTTTTATAATTTAAATCTGGAGGACAAAACAAGGTCAAAACAAAATGTTTTCTTGTTATGAGTTGATTTGTTGTTCTAACAACAGACTTCTGTATCTCTGTCTTTACTTTAATTAAATGTAAACATACTGATTAATACATGTTTTTATCTTCCAGAACCAAAGACCCCACAATTATGAGATGGCACTCTTTTACAGAGCAGTGGGATCAAAGACAATGCATCAGGTCAAGAAGATCACGTCTCACATTTTCCAGATAAAGTGTAGCACGGCCCCCATCATGATCTGTAATACTTATAATATATATAAATATTTTACACTGCAGATATTAGACTAGCAGCTAGCGGACTTTTCCATATTAAATATTAATCATACTTGTGCTAAACCAGGTGTGTTACCTGTTCCGTGTTTGTAAAATATCCACTGCTTCTTCTAACATAACACTTGATTTATACTTTTCTTATTTACTGGTCGTTTAAGTCGCTGCATCTATTGACAGAACAGAGTTATGTAACGTAACAGGTTGGGCTGCAGCGATCGATTCACTTTAGTAATCGAGTATTTTACAGATTATTTCGCCGATTAATCGAGTAATCAGCGCTGCCTTCATGCTGTTGTGGTCGGCTGGTTCTGTTGTACAGAGCTGTTTTCTTTTAGCTTGAAATCATCCCATTCTTCTCTGACTCTGTTTCTTCTTCCTTCTCTGTTTTCTCTCTCTTCCTTCATGTTATAATCCTCACCATCAAATGGCATCGTCTTCACTTGTCCGCAGCGTAAACAGGTTGTGCGACACTAATAATGGGCGGTGATGGTACAGTGGATAAGACACATTCCTTTGGTCTGAGAGACCCGGGTTCGAATCCCCTGTGAGACACCAATGTGTCGCTGAGCAAGACGCTTAGTTGCTCCAGAGGCGTGCAACCTCTGACATATATAGCAATTGTAAGTCGCTTTGGATAAACGCGTCAGCTAAATGAATAAATGTTAATGTAATAATCGTCCGTGTGAAACTGTACATCAGTGCTTTTCTGTAATCTAGTTATCAACTTTCTTGAATTGTTTCAGCCCTAGTAACGAGTAGTTCACCTGCTCTGCTCCTTGAATACGCACAGAGCCCCCTCAGTGGCTCATCTGCCCACCAAAGCAGTCCTACAGGGAAACACTGTGTTGTTGTCATCTTCTTGTGCTGTAGATGCTGTTGAAAATTAATAATGTTGGATTACTATTATTCTTGTTCTTGGGAGTTTGGGTTAATGCCTGATCATTTAAAAATAATGAAGCCTTAAATTTAAAATGTTTTATAAATGCATGATTTTTCTAATAGTCGTGTTAAATAACCGTGACCTCAATACTGACCAAAATAATCATGATGATGGTAAATGGTCTGTATTTTGTTTAGTACCTTTCTCGTCTTTCTGACTACTCAAAGCTCTTTATGTCTCACGCTGACGAGCAGAGCCGCCAACTTTTGAGTTCATCAGAAACAGAAATTATGTTACAAACCTCATTATAATTATGTTCATTTCATTTTCTTTATACCTGCACATTTTAATTCTACAACAGCAAGACCACAAGGAACTGATACCTGTCCGTCATCACTCAAAAGTTTCATTAGCTGTGTTATTAATATACTATATAAGATACAGATATATTTAATTTGAGTTAATACCAGTCTGTATGAAAGGAAGGACATTTTGGCAGATCCTCACTTACTTGTTTGAAGGCTAAGACCTGGTTTTAAGGTTATAGTTAGATTGGGTTTCAGGTTAAGGTTAGGATCAGTGTTGTGGTTAGAGAGATGTGATGGTCGCAAGATGAAAGTGAGGTTGTTGAGGTGGTGAATGTGCATGAAGCTCATCCTGTTTTCATATGGAAGCATTACCACGACCACAACCTTTCCCTTAACAAGTGTTTATAAACTGTCCCTCATGGACAGTAAGATGACAGCAGGCCAAAATATATAGTTGTTACCTTTATCTCCCAGCACCCAATATCTGGTTAAACAAAATACTTAGAAATAAAGTCCAAGTCAAGTGTAGAACGCAAAAGTCCGTCAAAGAAAAGACGCATCAGTACGCTCTAACAGACGGCTGAACAACATCTGGATTGATTTAATGGCACTGACTGGAGAAGAACTTCTTTTGCAGATGTTTCAAGTAATTCAGTTAAAATTTGCGCCACATTTGGATGGAAACTTGATTTACAGACGAATTTTCATTCCACCTGTGTGTGGCAGCTTTAGTTTTACTCCAACATGAATTGATCTTTCCCTCACAGCTAACATATCTACACATCGATCATGTAGTTTCCCTGGACAGATGTTGAAATCATTCAGAATAAATGCAACATTTTTATTATTTATTCCAACAATATTATTTACTGTTCAAAACTTCCTCACTGAGTTTAATCTGGGGTTCAACAGAATCATCTGTTTTACAGGTAAATGTTCTGTCCTGTGTTGAGGCTGTTTGCGTCACAGGAGTAGTTTCTTTTTGTCACTAATTTTAAAACCCCTGTTAGCTGGTCGTCAGTTAATCGCAGGGTCGGTGGTTCGATCGTCTTTCTTCATGTCCACGTGTCCCAAGTGTTCTTGAGCAATGATGGTCAGACCAGCACCTTGCATGGTAGCTCGCTGCCATCGGTGAGTGTGTGTGAATGACAAATGCTGTATTTACCAAATATTATCAGACTGCTTGTAGTTCTTAAAATAAAGTGAAAATATATTGTGACTTTTTATTTTCATGTTTGTGTTCTTCCACATTATTTATTTTTCTTAATTTCTATATAGGCCTGGGGGTGGTGATGGCGCAATGGTTAAGACCCATGTTCAATCCACCATTGTGTCCCTGAGCAAGACACTTAACCCCCAGTTGCTCCAGAGGCGTGCGACCTCTGACATGTATAGCAATTGTAAGTCGCTTTGGATAAAAAGCATCAGATAAATGTAAATATACAGTACAATCACTGTCCAGTTTATTAGAAACATCTAGCTAAAACTAATGCAGTCTAATACAACAGTCCTGCAATAAATCTCCTTCATTAAAGTTATAATGTTCAGAGAGGCGTTGATTTAACTTCATCGTCATTTTGGAGGCTGTAGTTTGTGGTGCTGTTGAACTGAAACAGGTGTTTCTATTATTCTGTCCACCCCATGTATATCAGTGAGTGCAGGCTGAATCACAGAAACACGTCTCTGAAACAGTTTGAACTCAACCTGAACATTTAAACCTTGATGAAGGAGATTTATTGCAGGACTGTCAGACTGCATTAGTTTCAGGTGTTCCTAATAAACTGGACACTGAGTGTTTGCTGACTGTGATATTTGAGTTCTCTGAAAGTTCATGTATGTTGATGTTTCTAACTGATGATGAACTTGTATCGTGTCATTTCCTGCAGAGCTGAATCATTTCTGTCCAAACGTTTGAATAAAACATGAAAAATGTCAAACTGTATGTTGTGGCTGTTTTTGATGTTTCTGTCTGTTCAAACTCTGAGAAAAGAAACTAAAGTGATTTTACTGTGTTGGACCGATTCTAACATGATCAATATTTTACTACAGATGTTTTTAACATGACTTTTTGTAGGAGTGGTATTTAGCAGTGGTGGAATGTACATTCACTCAAGTACTGTACTTAACTACAAATTCAAGGTACTTAAGTAGGAATTTAAGTTTGGGGAATGGAAGGAACAACTACAGGGACTGTTGGAGTGTGCTGCCCTAACAGAGCCACGAATAGTGAGCATTTTGATTGGGGTTAGCCAAATGGCAAGTTCAGGTGTTGGCTCAAGGCGACCGAAATACAGCAGCCAAATTCTTTGTGGCACTAGATGACCTTTATGGAGAAAGGATGCCCATTACATTAGTTAGTTTGGATCGACTGAAGGCTACAAGAAAATAATGTTATTTTAGACATGATACTCATGGAAACCTCATTTAACCATGAAAAGAGAATTGGAAGAATACAGTGTGTTCAGAAAAGAGGCTTAAAATGTGGTGAGATTTCAAACTGTGCAGAACAGGAAGGGGCCCACTGAGACTGCTTGTATATAGAGCCAAGAATGTTTTGCTACGTCGCTGTCAGTAAACTTGTTATTTTAAGGCAAATCTTAATAATTAATGGGGATTTTTTTATTAGCAGATAGAAACTGCAATTTCCAACATATCTTCCATAACTGAATCTGAAGTATTTGCAAGCACTGTTTGGTTTATAGACCTACCAGTATTGTTTTTTTCCTTGTGAGGGACCAAGTTGTCAGGCATGAGGAGTCAGAAAGTAAGTTTCCCAAAAATATATACAGTGGGTACGGAAAGTATTCAGACCCCTTTAAATTTTTCACTCTTTGTTTCATTGCAGCCATTTTCCAAAAATCAAAAAAGTTCATTTTATTTCTCAGTAATGTACACTCAGCACGCCATCTTGACAGAAAAAAACAGAAATGTAGAAATTTTTGCAAATTTATTAAAAAAGAAAAACTGAAATATCACATGGTCATAAGTATTCAGACCCTTTGCCGTGACACTCATATTTAACTCAGGTGCTGTCTATTTCTTCTGATCATCCTTGAGATGGTTCTACACCTTCATTTGAGTCCAGCTGTGTTTGATTATACTGATTGGACTTGATTAGGAAAGCCACACACCTGTCTATATAAGACCTTACAGCTCACAGTGCATGTCAGAGCAAATGAGAATCATGAGGTCAAAGGAACTGCCTGAAGAGCTCAGAGACAGAACTGTGGCAAGGCACAGATCTGGCCAAGGTTACAAAAAAATTCCTGCTGCACTTAAGGTTCCTAAGAGCACAGTGGCCTCCATAATCCTCAAATGGAAGACGTTTGGGACGACCAGAACCCTTCCTAGAGCTGGCCGTCCGGCCAAACTGAGCTATCGGGGGAGAAGAGCCTTGGTGAGAGAGGTAAAGAAGAACCCAAAGGTCACTGTGGCTGAGCTCCAGAGATGCAGTCGGGAGATGGGAGAAAGTTGTAGTAAGTCAACCATCACTGCAGCAATCCACCAGTCGGGGCTTTATGGCAGAGTGGCCCGACGGAAGCCTCTCCTCAGTGCAAGACACATGAAAGCCCGCATGGAGTTTGCTAAAAAACACCTGAAGGACTCCAAGATGGTGATAAATAAGATCCTCTGGTCTGATGAGACCAAGATAGAACTTTTTGGCCTTAATTCTAAGCGGTATGTGTGGAGAAAACCAGGCACTGCTCATCACCTGTCCAATACAGTCTCAACAGTGAAGCATGGTGGTGGCAGCATCATGCTGTGGGGGTGTTTTTCAGCTGCAGGGACAGGACGACTGGTTGCAATCGAGGGAAAGATGAATGCGGCCAAGTACAGGGATATCCTGGACGAAAACCTTTTCCAGAGCGCTCTGGACCTCAGACTGGGCCGAAGGTTTACCTTCCAACAAGACAATGACCCTAAGCACACCACTAAAATAACGAAGGAGTGGCTTCACAACAACTCCGTGGCTGTTCTTGAATGGCCCAGCCAGAGCCCTGACTTAAACCCAATTGAGCATCTCTGGAGAGACCTGAAAATGGCTGTCCACCAACGTTTACCATCCAACCTGACGGAACTGGAGAGGATCTGCAAGGAGGAATGGCAGAGGATACCCAAATCCAGATGTGAAAAACTTGTTGCATCTTTCCCAAAACGACTCATGGCTGTATTAGATCAAAAGGGTGCTTCTACTAAATACTGAGCAAAGGGTCTGAATACTTATGACCATGTGATATTTCAGTTTTTCTTTTTTAATAAATTTGCAAAAATTTCTACATTTCTGTTTTTTTCTGTCAAGATGGGGTGCTGAGTGTACATTACTGAGAAATAAAATGAACTTTTTTGATTTTTGGAAAATGGCTGCAATGAAACAAAGAGTGAAAAATTTAAAGGGGTCTGAATACTTTCCGTACCCACTGTACTTAAGTAGGAATTTAAGTTTGGGGAATGGAAGGAACAACTACAGGGACTGTTGGAGTGTGCTGCCTTAACAGAGCCACGAATAGTGAGCATTTTGATGGGGGTTAACCAAATGGAAAGTTCAGGTGTTTGCTGAAGGCGACCGAAATACAGCAGCCAAATTCTTTGTGGCACTAGATGACCTTTATGGAGAGAGGACGCCCATTACATTAGTTAGTTAGGATCAACTGAAGGCTACAAGAAAATAATGTTATTTTAGACATGATACTCATGGAAACCTCATTTAACCATGAAGAGAATTGGAAGAATACAGTGTGTTCAGAAAAGAGGCTTAAAATGTGGTGAGATTTCAAACTGTGCAGAACAGGAAGGGGCCCACTGAGACTGCTTGTATATAGAGCCAAGAATGTTTTGCTACGTCGCTGTCAGTAAACTTGTTATTTTAAGGCAAATCTTAATAATTAATGGGGATTTTTTTATTAGCAGATAGAAACTGCAATTTCCAACACATCTTCCATAACTGAATCTGAAGTATTTGCAAGCACTGTTTGGTTTATAGACCTACCAGTATTGTTTTGTGCCTTGTGAGGGACCAAGCTGTCAGGCATGAGGAGTCAGAAAGTAAGTTTCCAAAAAATATATATATTTTATTTACAAAGCACAAAAAATAGAAAATTCTGGGCCCATAAAAGAGGTCAACTAAACAGAACTTAACTCAGGTAACATAAGCTGAACAAAAAAGACCAAGACAAACTAAATAGACAATATATTCACTCACATTTATACACTGAGCTCAAACAGAAACTTACATTCATAAACTGGTGGAACAGCAACCAGAGGCAGTTCGGGGTTCAGTATCTTGCCCAAGAACACTTTGACATGCAGCCTGGAGGAGCTGGGACTGAACCACTGACCTTTCAATTAACAGGCAACCTGCTCTACCTCCTGAGCCACAGCCCCCCCCAAGTACAAGTGTTGGACACAAAAGTCTGTTAGAGAAAATAAGCATCAGTACTCTCTAACAGACAGGCATGTTGGACTGTTGAACAACATCTGGAATGATTTAACGGCACAGACTGGAGAATATGCGCCACCAGCTGTTTGTCTCCATGAACCACATCCTAATTTATTTTTTATGGATACTCAGTTAAAATTACGTCACATTTGGATGGAAACTTGTCTTGCAGCAGACTTTTCAGTCCACCTGTGATTTTGGCCGCTCTGACCAACAAAACAACACTTTGCCTTCAGACAACACGACATAGAAACTAGTTTGTTTCAAGTGAAACTGCCTTTAAAATTCAAGTTTTACACTATCCACAATTTATTTAATATTTAATAGTATTTAACGTTCAAAACAAATCCTCATTAAATATAATCTGAATTACATGTAAATGTTGTTTCACAGGAGTAGTTTCTTTTTAGCAGACAGGTTGGAGTTAATGAGGTGAAACAGAAGAGAGCAAGTGGACTTTAATGTAGACAAAACTGATTATTAATCAACAATTCTGTTAATTAGATTCTGGTATGTGGTGTGACTGAGTTTCACTCTTGTGCAGCTTTAAGACAAAAAATACTGACTTACTTAATGACGTCTTGCACTCTGTTCTACAGTGCACTCGGAAAGTATTCACTGTGCTTCATTCTTTCCTCAACAAAAGTTTAACATAATGTGGAAAAACTGAAGCGCTGTGAATACTTTCCCCACGCATTACATGTTGCATTGCACAAAGTTAAAAGACACCTGATTAAACTCCAGATAAAAGTATAAGTGTAATGTAGTGTAAGGGCCTCAGACCAAAAAAACTCTGCAATCAGTGATTGAGTGTGAATGATGGATGTGGAGCAAACATGCTGCATTTAACAGAAATGATCTTAAACATGGGTTCACTGAACTAAAGCTGTTTCGCTGTAAATGTAAATATTTTGTAGCTACAGTGTTCATTGACATTATTTGGGACAAACCTGTATTGCTTCCTTTTATTTCTTACGGTGCGAAGCCAGACTCTGTCAGGTACAGTTACACACTGAACTACACACTCAGTGTCCAGATTATTAGGAACACCTCGCTAAATTAATGCAGTCTAAAACAACAGTCCTGCAATAAATCTCCTTCATGAAGGTTCTAACTGATGATGAACTTGTATCGTGAAAAATGTATAACATTAAAAATGTCGAACTGTATGTTGTGGCTGTTTTTGATGTTTGTTCAAACTCTGAGAAAAGAAACTAAAGAGATTTTACTGTGTTGGACCGATTCAAACATGATCAATATTTTGCAGCTGTTGTTTTTGTATAAATACTTTTTGTAGGAGTGGTATTTAGCAGTGATGAAATGTGAAATTGTAAGTAGCTTTGGATAAATGTAATGTAACATTTACTCAAGTACTTAAGTAAAACAATTTTGAGGGAGGCTTACTTGTATTTCAACTTCATGCTACTTTATGCTTCTGCTCCACTAGATGTCAGTATTTTAATGTTTCCTCTACTACATTTGTCTGACAATTTTCAGATTACAAATTCCTCCCTGTCCAGTGAATACCATGCTTTTTAAGAAAAATAATCTATTTAAAAACCCTATTTGAAAACAGGCTGTTGAGCAATCAATAAAAATTCACTTTAAAGTGGGGAATATTTATGCAATCATCTTCTTTAACTTATATATTTTTAATTTATTGACATTAGAGTTTTATTGCAAATTCTTGTCAAAAAAGCCAAATAATATTGAGCACGATTTCATGTATAAAAGAAACAAAAGAGTGAAACATCCAAGGAGGTGAATACTTTTTATAGACATTGTACTTGTGGAGTGTTTTCACATTGTGGTATTATTAATACTTTTTACTCGAGTAAAGATATTATTTCTACCACTGGTTATCAGTCAGTCCCTTTTTCACAAGTCAAAATCATAGACTGTATAAAAACGTCAAAATATTAGTGAAAGTGACGCTTTTATTGTGAAGGATTAGCGGAAGTGTTGCAGCTTCCTGAGAAATCGAAAGTGTTTCGCAGTGACGCAGCCTGAAGTGGTTACATGTCTGTTAGAGTCGTAACAGTGAAGTTTAATGATGTTTAATCTTCAGATGTCTTCTACAAACATGAAGCTTCTTCCTCTCGCGTGTCTCTGTCTCCTGACTCGGTCTGGAACAACGTTGGCTGATGAACAAAGTAAGAAAACGACTTAATTAAACTGATAATCAATAACCTGATAGGCCGAATAGGCACAGATCAATATTAAAACATCTAAGCCTATTTCCCTAACAAATGTGATGTAATTTAATAAAGGCATCCTTCTGATTAATTACAGTCGTACAACAGAGCCGCGCAGTTTGCTGATGTTTCCATTATCTGGCAGAGAAACTGTTCCTCATTTCAGACTGTTGCGACTCATAACTGATATTTCTGATCAAATATAAAGTGTCGACCTCTACCTGAGGGTTAACTTACTGTTTTGTTGATCCTTTTTAAGTAGAAACTAAGAATAATGCGTGTGTTATAGCCACACAGCCTGTAATATAAATATTATAATAATAAGCAGCCGTTATTTTTCTCTCTCGCTTCATTTCTCACATTTATAATTCAGATCCAAAGCCATGACCATGTTCAGAGACAGAAAACTAGGCTGCAGGACTGACAAAGCACCGTCCTGAATATAAACACGTTCAGATCTTCCTCCTTATTTTCTCAGTCTGGTTGTATTTTAGCAGCTTGTTAGTTATGTTATGTTGAACAGTTATGTTGTTTGAACAACTGACTTCAGTGTGTCTTAACTTAGGCCTAATTAAATTAATTTAAACATACTGATTAATGAGGTTTTTTGTCTTCCAGGTCCAGTGATCATCGAAGTGAAAGAAGACAGTGATGTTATTTTACCCTGTTTCCTCAGCACCAAGGAGAACATTGAGTACAAACTCTTTGACTGGAAGAAAGATGGTCAGAAGGAGGTTTTCCTTTATGAAGCAGGAACTCATTACAATAACGGCCGTCCAGGTCAAGATGAGCAGTTCAAAGGTCGCGTCTCACATTTTCCAGATGAGCTGAAGTACGGCAACGCCTCCATCATCATCAGAAATACGAAGGTGACTGACAGTGGAAACTACACCTGTGATTTTCCACTTCTTCAGCCAAGACAGATATTCAACATTCAGCTTGTTGTTGGTGAGTGTTTTCATTAAACAGTTCAAGATTTGTTTACTGATGTGACTGGTTTACGAGTCCCAGATAGACTTTAGTCAAGAATAAACATCTGGCAGGGCCTCTCTATTATCAAGTTGATAATATTTCACAAGCGTTCTAACATATGTTTTGTTTTTCGTTTTAGATCGTATCTTAAAGGACAGATCAGCTGAAAACATTGCAGGTGAGTCCTTTGATGACGTAACTAACTGTCACAGGTATGTGCCGAGTTTGGCTTCAAAAGGATATCATCTGACATCATCCAACCCTACGTACTCCAAAAGATAACATACATCAGCACTACATGATAGAGAGAACAGATCTTGTTTATCTTTAAAACAACAAAATATGTCCTAGTGCAACAACTTCCAGAAATCTTGTTGGTGTTATTAAAGTTTACATTGAGCTCCTGTTTCTCTGCTCCTGTTTTTCCTTTCACTATAACAGGCTGCATTGTATTTACAGAAATTATAGAGGTATTTTAACAGTTCTCCTTATGACCACTTTAATAGGTACACTTGTACAATAAGGTAATTCTATTAAACATCTCTGCCTAAAATGACTTCACCAAGTTTATATTGTTCAGTTTTTGCTGACTTTGTCCTAAACATGAAAATTCAGGGACACGTTTATTACTGAGCTCATAGTTAATGGTGCTGTTATACTGGACTACATTATACAAAGAGGTGTTTCTAATTTTTGTACTCACTGTTTACAAACTTGAGGGGTCAAAATATTTAATTCAACACTGGAAACTATGACCTTTGTGCTAAAACACATAATTGAATTAACGCCACTATGACAGTTAAAAAAACATTGTACACTTATAAAGTAAACTTAACAGTTGTGTTGGATTGCGTCAGTCTGGACAGGGGCCTGCACCACGAAGCAAGTTCAACATACCCGGAATATGTTATCATTATCTGGCTTAACTAACTAACAATCGCGATGGGGATAAGCTGTCACGGTGGGTGGTGTGAAGGCAGGTTGTGGAACCCAAATGCAGGACTCGAAGCCGGCAGGTACAGTTCAGTGATTTCTTTAAACAACTAAAGGCGAGCACACTTACAGGTTGAGTGGCTGATACAGAGTCCAAAACAAAGGTTGTCCAAAACAGTGCAGGGAGACACGACAAGAGGGCAGCCAACAAGCAATCACACAACAACTCAGGGAGACAGCATACAATGACCCAACAAAGACTAGACAGAAACACCAGGTATATATACACAGGGATAACGAGCAGGGCGGGAGCAACACAGGTGACAGAGCAGGAGAAAACAGAGACAGACATGCAGAGGGATCACTGGGGTAACAGACAAGACAAAGGTTACTGAACACTAGACAAGCAGACATGGGGCAGAGAGAATAAGCAAAACAAGACAGAAACACATACACACACACGTTACCAAGAACCTGAACGAGAAAACAGAGTACAGAAGAGACAAAACAAAAATGGCACACACTAGAACCAAGAGCAAAGACCAGAACTAAGGACATTGAACAAAAATCCAGACTTCAGAAATAACAGATAGCGGTGTTAACAGCAGATGACCAATCACAGACATGAACAAGTCTACCAGCTGCAGAGCGTCATATTTTACAAACGAAGATTTAACTATAACGCTACAGAAATAGCCTACAACATGGTCTAAGTAGCACGACTGCAGCTGATACATGCAGGGAGACAGAAAACCTGTGTGAATGTCTAAATGAGCAGGCGGAGTCCATAATAATGCGTTGATTTGATGTGTTCTTATGAGCTGTATAAAAATATCAGCCTTATTCTTTCAGCTCGGCTGTGTGTCGGCGTTTCAACATTAAAAGACTTGTGCACTGAAGAAGTGGTTGTTCCTCACTTTAAAAAAACCTTTCATCACTTCAAAAACGAGATTAATTTATTTAACACACTCAAAATTTGTCCAAACATTGTTCTAAACTTCATAAAGCAATGAAACGAAAAATCCATTCATGTCATAAAATGTGCTCAAATAGTGGCTGAAAGACTGAATCTCAACATTTAGGCTACTGAAAACTCCCCTCATTACCTGCACCTACATCGCAAAAGGTGGGGTGGTACATGACTAAAGTCTCTGTGATAGACTTTAAGATAGCTACTAACCTAAAATAAATAGCCATTCATATTAACATTTATTTCAATATCCCTACCAAACTCATAATATTCAGCCTCACATAAGAAAAATTAAACCCATTTATTTTAACGGCTGCGACAGGCTGTGTGAAACGGACTGGGAGCAAATAAAAAATATTAAACACATTTCAAAGCAGTCAGTAGCCTACTGTAAAAAGCTGTAGGCCAATCAAAGCCCAAGGCCTTTAATCAGTCTCTGTAGGATGATGTCGCTGTAGTTTCTCCACATCAGGGCAGCAAACATAAAGCAGCCAATAAAACAGTCTGTGGGATTTCCTACAGATGGTGATGTCATTTTCCAAGAGAGCTGATTGGTCAGTAGGCGGCGCTGCTTTGTGGCACAGGCCCCAGGTGTACCTAATAAAGTGGCGGCTGAGTTAATGTATCACTGACACAATTAAGCCCCGATAACACAAGGGGCTCACATGCTTTTAAAGACCTTGTTTCATATTTTATAACACGTTTTTTCCACTTTAGTGTAACAGAAAATATTGTCGACATATCAGACAACAGATTTCATGTGACGTCGTTTCAAGATAATTTTTTCAGCTCAACAAATGTAAAAATTGAGTTTGTCCAAACGTCTTCACTGTATCTGAGCTTCTGTCATGATATGAGTCAGAAACAGTGTTTGCAGCTGTAAATAGTTTCCAGACTTTTGGTAGAAGTTAGAAATGTTTGAAATATCATGTCCTATCTAACAATGCTGGGAGGAGCAACTGAGGCTGATACTGTGCTTTTCTGTTCCTCTGTGTTTTTCTGTTAAACACACTTTAATCCTCATTTACAAGCAGAGAAGAGACGAACAAGAAACATCAAAGTGTTACATTTATAATCCTGTTATTGTCCTTTTATAGCTGATGTGTCTGTTTACTGTGTTCACAGGAGCATCTCCAGAGCCGTCTGTCAAGATACTTTATCAAACAAAGGACTGGGTCCTGCTGCAGTGTGAAGTTCTTGGTGCTTCTTCAAAACCTACAGTAGAGTGGCAGGACAGTGCTGGAAACAAACTTCCTGCTGAGGAGCCACAGGTCTCAGAAAGAGGAGGCAGCTTCTACATCATCCTCCAAACTACTGTGATGAAGACCGACCGCTATTGCTGTGTAGCCACACAGGAGGAGATCAGACATCAGATTTATACTGAGATCTACGTGAAGGTCAATGGTGAGATTCTTCTTAGTGATGTTTTTATATTTCAGTCAGTTCAATAGTTGTGTTATTAGTTTTTAAACATGTTTAAGTGTCTTCAGACTGAACACAAAGCAGATTGTGATGAAGATGTCAGCAGAAGTGTAAAAAGTTTCAAACTGAGTGAAAGCTTCACTCTTATACTGAGACTCTGAGACTTCATGGATCTACCGAGATGAGAGGAAGAATGAGAGGGTCTGCAGGGAAATAACAGAAAGAAACTCTGAGATCAGTCTGATCAAACACAGGAACACAAGAATTTAGTAAACTTCACTCACAAACCCAGTAACAGATTTATAAATGGCTGCTGCAGCCTGATCCTGGGGATCAACATGAAAACACCTCACGAGGGAGATTTAGAGACTGAAGTCTTTAGAATCAGACACTTTTTGAGCCACAAGTGAAAAAGACTGAACTTGAATAAATATTGATAGTTCCTGGTAATATTTTGACACCATGGAGGCACATACAGGCTTTGAAGTGCAGTTTTTATTAGACAATGGAAACTTTAATTGAAGTAATTAGTACCAATTGCAAAATACAGCTTGTCATTTCTTATTCAGGTTGAAGCTCCAAGTTTCAAACATTATCATTTTATAACTGGAGTAATTCCGAGTATTAAAACAGCAGAATCTGATGAGAGATCTTCTTAATGAAATAATGTTGTTTCACAGCAACATAAATTAGATAGTTTAGATTAGATTCACCTTTATTGTCATTATGCAGAGTACAGATACAAAGTTAATGAAATGCAGTTAGCATCTAACCAGAAGTGCAGAAATGGTGTTTTATTATACAGATAAGTGCAGTTGTAATGCTATTTCTATAAAGTCCTCCTGCTCTTAAACATTTTCCAAAAATAAAATATGTATTCCACTGTGAGCTTTTGTTCAGAGACAAAAAGGAAGAATTGCGTCAGGTTTATTATTATTTAAAAATGTTTTTAGAGAGATTTAAAACTGTGTCTCAGTCTGTGTGTGTTCTGAAATCTGTATAAATATTCTTTATAGCATTTTATTAAAGGTTAAAAGTGTGTTTAGCTTTAAGAGTTGGAGCTTCAAGAGACTCGTGCTGCAACTTGAGAGAAAGTGTAGAAGTATCAGTGAGTTAAATGTACTTAAAGTAGCCAAAGATAAAAAAGTATAATTTGAAGTATCATCTGATAAATGTAGTGAATTATAAAGTAGCATAAATAGGAAATAGTCAAGTACCTCAAACTTGTCCTGTCACTGCTCAGTGAAACATAAACGTATCTCAGCCTCATGTTTAGCTGGATGTTTAATGTTTCCTTAACAAAGCTCATCAACACTCGCTGTAACAGCAGCTGTGATGTAAACGTCCCTTTACCCCGACCACAACCTTTGCTTGACCTTAACAAGTGTTTTATATTCTCTCCCTGTCCAAGTCATGGACAGGGAGATAACAGCATGTTAAAATGAATCATTCCATTAACTAGTTTCTGATATGTGCTGTGACTGAGTGGAACAGTCTTGACTAAACTCATTTTAACTCTTTTTGTTATTGTTGTTTAGGACAATGACGACTTCTTGCACTCTTTGTTTTTTTATTTTAATATTCTGATTATTTTATGCAACTTAATTTTACTCTGTCTTCAATCTAAATTAATTTCATTCCAGGCAGCACAAAGTCAAGTGATGATCAATCTGCCCACTGAACTGTTGTTGTTGAGGACTTTATACTGACGCACCTGATGAATAAGACGAAGCTGCACAGAAACAATGTGATCAATAACGAGATAACATCAAATTATAACATAGGATAACATTTACATTTTAGCTGACACTTTTATCCAAAGTGATTTACACTCATATATAAGAAGGACAGTAAGTAAGTAATGAAAATAAATAATAAAGTGAAACGACCAGGAGACTCTGACTGAGGATTTCAGGCTGCTGCAGCTCAGAAAAGGTTTAAATATCTGTGATGTGTTCAGGAGCTTCAGTGTGAAATCTGAACCTGTAAAACTGAGAGGCAGCTAGTGAAGACTGGAAGGTGTTTGTGTTTCTATAATGAGTTAAAATCAGCTTGTTTGATGAGCAGGAGACAGACAGGGACTTCTGTCTGAGGCCTGAATAAAGAGATGAATGAGGAGCAGAACTGCTGCATAAATACTGTCCATTTACTAAATATTATCAGACCGCTTGTTGTTTTTAAAGGTCCTAAATGAGGGAGAAATTAATAGAAACATGAGTTCACTGAACTGAAGCTATTAATGTAAATATTTTGTAGCTAAGGTGAAATATATAATGTGACTTTTTAATTTTGATGTTTGTGTTATTGAAATTATTTGGGACAAGCCTGTGTTGCTTATTTTAATTTCTTAAGGTGCAACGCCAGAGTGCTGTCAGATACAGTTACACACTCAGAGTCCAGTTTATTCAGTACAGTGCGAATAGGCAGTCTAATACAACAGTTATGTTAAAATTTAAATCTCCTTCATGATTCGACTTCATGGTCATGTTGGAGGCTGTAGTTTGTGGTGCTGTTGAACTGTCTTACTTTGACAGGTGTTTCTGTTATTTTGTCCACCCCATGTATATCAGTGAGTGCAGGCTAAATAACAGAAACACGTCTCTGAAACAGTTTGAACACAAACTGAACATTTAAACCTTGATGAAGGAGATTTATTGCAGGACTGCATTAGTTTCAGGTGTTCCTAATAAACTGGACACTGAGTGTTTGCTGCTGCTGACTGTGATATTTGAGTTCTCTGAAAGTTCATGTTCAGCTTGTTTTATAATTTAAGTCTGGATTATAATTTAAATCTGGAGGACAAAACAAGGTCAAAACAGAAAAATGTTTTCTTGTTATGAGTTGATTTGTTGTTCTAACAACAGACTTCTGTATCTCTGTCTTTACTTTGATTAAATGTAAACATACTGATTAATACATGTTTTTATCTTCCAGAACCCCCACAATTATGAGATGGCACTCTTTTACAGAGCAATGGCATCAAAGACAATACATCAGGTCAAGAAGATCACGTCTCACATTTTCCAGATAAAGTGTAGCACGGCCCCCATCATGATCTGTAATACTTATAATTATATAAATATTTTACACTGCAGATATTAGACTAGCAGCTAGCGGACTTTTCCATATTAAATATTATTCATACTCGTGCTAAACCAGGTGTGTTACCTGTTCCGTGTTTGTAAAATATCCACTGCTTCTTCTAACATAACACTTGATTTATACTTTTCTTATTTACTGGTCGTTTAAGTCGCTGCATCTATTGACAGAACAGAGTTATGTAACGTAACAGGTTGGGCTGCAGCGATCGATTCACTTTAGTAATCGAGTATTTTACAGATTATTTAACCGATTAATCGAGTAATCAGCGCTGCCTTCATGCTGTTGTGGTCGGCTGGTTCTGTTGTACAGAGCTGTTTTCTTTTAGCTTGAAATCATCCCATTCTTCTCTGACTCTGTTTCTTCTTCCTTCTCTGTTTTCTCTCTCTTCCTTCATGTTATAATCCTCACCATCAAATGGCATCGTCTTCACTTGTCCGCAGCGTAAACACGTTGTGCGACACTAATAATGGGCG